CACATCAGAAGGAAATGAGGGAGTGAGTCATTGTGGATACCCAGGTGAGAAACATTCTTAGCAGAGGAAACAGCACATAGAGGCAACTGATCTTTCAAGAAAGAACAAGGAGACAGGTAGAAATAGCAACACTGGTTACTACGAGAGATGAGTCAAGAACCTGGATCATATATGGCTTTGCTGGCAATTATAAGGTGTTTTGGCTTTTACTCCTAGCGAGATAAAAAATCGTATTTGAGGATTTTGGATAGAGGACTCATGAAATCTGGGTTATGTTTAAAAACATAGCCACTTGCTGAAAACAGAATACATAGGGGCAAGGAAGCAGAAAACGATTTAGGAAGCTATTAGAATAACCTGGGCAGTAGATGCTCACAGCTTGTGCCAGGGTCACAATGGTAGAAATGATAAGAGGTGGTCAGGTTCTGGTTTATGCTGTGAATCAGCATATATGGAAGCTGGAATTAGTTCCAAGGTTAAAACAATTATAATACAATATAAATGTGGTTTTCCAGGAATGAAGTGGTTTTTCATGAGTTACAGTGTGAAGCAGGAGAAAAATTTTGTCCAGGAATGATTAGAGATCTCCTTCCTCAATTTGCCTCATCTTTGAACATAAGAGCAGATAGGCAAGCAAACAGATGCTCAGAAAATAATGATCCTTGTATGTTTCAAGTCCATATGATTGCAGGAAAACTCAGCCTGGGTCAACAGTTCCCATGATATTACTTTGCAGCTGCCATTTCCAAAGATAGGTGACATATTACATAGAAACAGTTACTTGGCTCCCTCCTATGGTCTATGTCATTTTTTACAATTTCCAAGTCTCTATATTTGGGAGTCTTAGAGTTTTCTGATACTCTCATTTAATTCTCACCACCTTGAAGTACCTCTATCACATCACTTTTTTTACATTGTTCTTGTACATGCCTTTCCTCTTATATTCCCAGAGCTACAAAGGCAGAGACAAGGTTATTATTCATCTTTATTTCTTTAGCACTTGGAATATTGCCTGGAATGTAAGTAGGCACCCAGCAAACTTTGGATAAATGTTGAAAGTTTATTTGGCTGGAGGAACAGTGGATATTCTTTTGAGTGAAAGTAGAACTAATCACCTTTGCACAAGTCAAAACATTTGAACTAAGGAAGTCTTTAATTCAAATCTTGGCTCAAGTATTCAGGTCAATAATTGTGTTTCAGTCAGTCTGATTTCTGGCCAGCAACATCTCAATAAAACTGTGGAGAGGATAAAAGGTGGAAGGCATATAACACTATTCCATGTTCGTTCAATTAAAGATAAGTGTCCTTCACTTAAATTGCTACCTAGATAAAAATAATATTCAAGTAACTGTTCATTCTTTAGATAACAAGTGTGAAATAACTATAATATATAGTTGGAAATATATATAACATATATAACTAGGTGCTTTGCATTTTCTGCTGGAAATTACCAAGATTAAACATTAAAAAAAATCACCAAAATTAAATTGGGAGATGTTAGTTTTTCAATTTTATGTGTATTACTGAAAAAACTTCACTGAGCACTAGTGTCTACATAAAAGCCTATAGAGTTTATACTGTTCTCATTTTTAAAATAAAATTTCAAGCTGTTAAGAATATTTTAGTGTGTGTGTGCGCGTGCGCACTGCTCATCTTTCAGAAAACATTTTTATAGCATCAAATATTTAAAGACAGGAATCAGGTGTTAAATGTGTCCTATGAATTATTTTCACCTTACCATTTAAAAATATGACTTCAAGAGGTGATTCAAATGCTGGGCTTCCGGCAAGTTGATGGCATTGTAACCTTAAGCATGGTAATTACATTGAAGGAGTTATTGAGTGTCAGCTGTATTTCACAGAATAGGACTGTGTGTGAAAGATAAATGTGCACACACACTTTAAAGAATTTTTGGTATACAATTTTTTTTTTTCTTGTAATGTGGCAGATTCAGAATTGGGATTCTTTCCACACTCCAGATTGTCTTCCTTTGGAAGATACCAATGGTGTAGGTTGACTTTAGTAGGCCTTAAGCCAGCTTTCTATCATTTACATTTTAAAACTTTGGAATTTCGACCAAAAGCTTTTATACAAGTAGTTAACAAATGACGTATTTTCTAAGTAAAGTTCAGAAAAGAGTCTTTCATTATAGCAAAAAGATGAGTACAATGCATCAATTTTCATTACACATTCTCTTTGCACATGTAACTGGTCCTTGGCATGACAGAAATCTGTGGTGTAGCCATAGGGATATGTAATGATAGAAATGGAAGTTGCTTGATCTTAATTTATAAGAGGATAGGGCGACTACAGCTACCCTCTGTGAATGAGCAGAAAGGCCACTAGGTGGGAAGATGAAAGTGACAAGAGTGGAGGCTAGTATTGTCAGAGTAGATGAGCCCTAAGTAAGCAAAGGTATCTTCATAAAGAGGGAGGAGTACTGACTTAGAAGCAGTGATGGCAAGTGAGGAAGAGGTTGAGCCTATCAACTGAATTTAGAGGTATGTGGGTAAAGAAAAAATGAGAAGGAAGCATCTGAGAGGGGTGTAGAGTACTATTTTCTTTGGAGGGCCAGGTTTTGAGACAGATTGAAAGCATGTACGCAACTGGCTGAAGAGCTCTGGTAACTTAGAACCAGAAAGACTGCTAACGTGAGTCCAAGAGCTTCTGGGGGGCCTCCCTGGTGGTGCAAGGGGTTAAGCACCGCACTATGAAGCAATCTGCAGCCTCTGCAGCACGAGTTTAATCCCCAGCCCGGCCAGGGAGCAACCCACATGGCGCAGCAGACCTCTCCTGTCTCGCCCGCTGCTCCCCTCAGCAGTATATTTCAGTCAATTTGCCTGTTCTACTCCCCACTCTGTCTGGTGAATCCTCTCACCCCCCCGCATCTCTGGCCTGTACCCGGCTTTTGTATGCATAAATAAAAAATAATAATAAAAGAGCTTCTGGGGCTCAGGAAGAATGACAAACCTCTTCGGGAGTCAGTGGAGACCAAGTTTAATCAGGCACCAAGGGCAAGGTGGGTAATCTAGAAACAGATCAATTTACCATGTAATTCTACCTGCCCTAAGGTCCCCTCCCTGCCCCCAACAGAAAAATAAAAGCTCAATAGTAGATCCTGGATATTTAAGTGAAAGGGTGCTGCCTTCTCTGAAGCCAGTCACAGCCCAACCCAATCTTAAAAACTTATATTCACTGTGGTTATTAATCCTCAAGGCCATTTTAGATAAAGAGTTTAACATACATTAGAGGCCAAAATTAAGAAGTTAAGCAGAATTAACTATAGATTTAATTCATAGCTGATTATATAACCTTTTACATATCATTCTTAACTACTCTGTACTACAGCTCTTATTTTAAAGAAATTGCTCATGACAATGTTCAAGCCCCTTCTATTATCACAGGCAAATAAGATCATATTTTATAAGAGCTCTTGGAAGAAAAGGAGTCAAAAAATGTGCTATTAAACAAAACTGCCAAACTAGAAAATCCTGCCAAGAAAATTATAATTGACAGCCTAATGAAGACAACAATAATATAAAAAACTAACACAATTTTGAATTTATTATTTTGAAGACTTAATAAATATTGAAAAATAAGTCCAAAGTACCTTAGAAAAAAATGACCACTTCTATCTTTATACCTACCTTTGAGAATCATATTCAGTGTCACTGTGGAATCAATATAAATTAAAACAGTAATATATTTTCTCCTTAAATCTTAAACGATTAATTATAATTATAGTGTTAAGAGCACTCTTACACACTGCTGTCATGTGGATACATTGGTATAATCTTTTAGAAGAGCAATTAGACAGTTTTTAACCCAGATACACATGTACGAATCCTTTAATCACACAATTCCATTCAGAATTAACTAAAATACTCCTACATGTATAGAGGTATATATGCTGATGTTTATTGCACCATTGTTTTCTTAAAAATAATGTGAAGTAATATAAATCTAAATGTACTGGTAAAGAACTGGCTAGGTAAATTCATACATATCATATAAGGAAATAAAAGCCAATAGGAAGGAAGATCTTTTAGACACATTCACAAAGAATTCAGTGGGAAAAATAATAAAATTACAGGACAGTCTGTAGGACAATGATCTTACTCTTATCTGTTTAAAAAGACTTAAAAAGTGACAATAACTATTTATATTATTTTCATGATAAACACAGATGCCAAACACTCATATATTACTTTGTTCTAATCTGAAATTCACCTCAACAGAAAGCCATATTTAATTTTTAAGGCAAAAGGTTATTGGTACACTTGATGTAAATAAAATCAGAAAAATTTTGTGCTTTGTTTAATGTCTTCAGGAAATACAAATTAAAGGGAAAAGTTTTTTTCCCTATTTTTTTTAAAAAGATATTTGTAGTAAGTACCTATATACAGCCATCTGGTCTTTGAAATTCTGCTTAAACCTCACAGATATTTACAATGTGAGGCAAAATGATGCTCAAAAAAACAATGTGCTAAAATGTAACATACCATAAGCACCCAGATGTCTTCAAAATAACTTTTTTTTTTTTAAGATAAGCAGATTTACAGTACTGGTGGTTTGTTCTTTTTGTCAAAGACAAGAGGCATCAATAAACTGCAACAAGCCAGGCTTCACATAGACCTTTGCAGGTTGACTGGTAAGTGTGTATATGTCGTCATCAAAATATGCATTAACTAGGTAAAACTTTCACTACATGTTATTTATTACAAATCTCTTTATTTTCAACCTTTGCTCAGCAGGCACGTTAACCAAGACAGGCTAGCATAGGTTCCCAATATTTGTTGATGCAGCCTCCTAACCTGTTCAGTGGGATCCCTATCCTGACTCACATAGCATATAGCTTTACATGACCAGTGGCTAATGGGACATGACTACCATTGCATACACCACAGGGTACATATTCTTTTAGGTCAGGCTGAATAAGAGTTACAAATCAGCATATTGCTGCCAAAGCCTGACAAATTAGTTATATGAAGGATACTCACATCAGCATAGTGGCCGATCATATCACATCGGTCACATCGTTTCCGCCAGGAAGATCTTTCAAGACATCTGTGAGTAGAAGACATAGGCAAGGAACAGTCTAAGCAAAAGCGGGCCGGACAGGCATATTGGAGGTGTCCTCTCTCGGAGCAGAGGCAGCAGGGGCGAACTTTCTATGTGGCAGACAAACAGAAAATCTCTTCAGCAAGATACTTCAGTCTCAAATAGTAGAAGGTCAATTTTTCTTTTTCTGTATAATTCCATAAACATTTATTTCCATTTTGGGGCCTCCCCTGGTGGCGCAGTGGTTGAGCGCTGGGCTGCGAAGCTGCCCGCAGCCTATGCAGCGCTGGTTCGATACCCGGCCGCCGGCGAGGGTCCAACTTGGCGAGCAGACCTCTCCTGCCACCCACTGCTCCCCTCAGCAGTGTATTTCGTCAGTCTGCCTGCTCTGCTCCCCGCTCTGGCTCTGGTGAATTCTCTCACCCTCCCGCGCTTCTGACTGTACCCAGTGCTTATATAAATAAATAAATAAATCTTTAAAAAAAAAGAAAAAGAAAAATTTATTTCCATTTTGAGATCCCAAAGAAGGTCAAGTGTTAAACATAATTATAAAATCAAACAAAATGTCCAAATCAGTTGTCTACATCCTCTGGTTGCTAACACAGTTGTCTGCATCCTCTGGTTGCTAAGAGGTTTAGTCTGCAAGTGCTATCAGCTGGCATCTGTTTCTTATGTCTTGTCTTATAGGAATACTGACTAAGTGGAATGTGTCTAAGAGGGAAAGCAGGAGGATGAGGATCTGGAAATTAAGTCACAAAAGGAACAGATACAGAAAGAGGCTGCTTTACCTGGAGAAGCTAAGACAACGTAGGAACACAGAGCTGTCTCAATTATTTGAAAGAAAATAATTTGGAGAAGGGACTAGGCAATGGAAAAAATGTTTAAGAGCTTACTAGCAAATGTCTAAGAGGTTGAGTTCTGTGTTGCTACAAATTTGGTGTAGCCGTTTAAATTATTTAATTCTATAAATACTTGTAAGTACCTAAAATTATAATTTTCCTAATAATGAAAATAATCCCACAATGAAATAAACTCTCTCATTTTTAAGCAGAAGATTCAAAGTGAAAGGGGTCTCAGGAATCATCTGATTCAACCTCATTTTATAGAAAAGAGCAGAGGCACAGAGGTGAAATGATTTAGCTAAGGCCTCACAACTAGTAATGGGAAGCTCAAATTGATTACAGGTTTTCCTGATGCTAAATTTATTGCCCTTTCCCCTACTCTAGGCTATGACCTATAAGAAATTTGACACATTTATTACATACGATTTGAATTTTTAAGGTCATAGGGCTGCAACCCAAAGATTTTGTCTGTAACAACATGGGAAGAAATAATACATGTCACGTACTTGTGGAAAGGGGCAGTTTTTGGACAAATGGCCACATTTGTCACAATTCCTACAGGTAACATTTTTGTTAGCTGAATAGTATCGGTGGGTCCATCTTCCAGATGATCTCTTATTACCTATCTGGGCCTAAGAGGAAAAAAAAAACAACCCAAGAATTAAAACATTATTTTACTCTGTTTTATAAAAACCATTTACTTTTCTTTTAAAAGCCAGCTATCAGAAAGAGGTATCACACCTCAACAGGCAAGGGATTTACTATCATCATCTGTTCAATATAGAAGCCAGTAGCTTAGATGTCTGTGTTCTCTTAAAAGAAGTTAGAAGAACTTAAAAGGGGGTACCATAAAGATAACTCTACATTTTGTCTGCTCCTCCCCCCATTCTTATACTTCTCCATAAGGATCCATATTTTATCTTTCTCTACTTCTGCTTCCAGACTAATAGGGGCACTGATACCCATCACAGACATTCTGGTGGCATTCAGAGTCAAAAATACTTCTGACTTCTACATATGAACTTGTACCATATTTTTCTGAATGAAAAATTTGCTTACATTTTTAGTTAGGGAATTTTTTTTTTTATGATTTTGTTTTTATGAAGTTATAAAATTCAACAGTAACCAAATGTGTCCCTTCTTTTGAAGACCCTAGGGTTACTATCTACAAACTACATTACAATTTCTAAGAGAGAATGAGATCATTAGTAAATACATAAATCAAAAGTCACTGTCTATACAGTAACCCAATTCTAGCTGTGCCATCTTCTAGCTAAAATCTAGTAGCTTGCAAAAAAAATAGTACAAGAGCACATGATGTAGAATATATAAAGAGGAATATGTAAATGCTAACCATGTTTTTATCTTGTTTGGTAGAATTCTATCTTTGAAAGAGTTTTTAATCCTTTACTTATATTCTGTTGAATCGGCCAGAGAAGACCCAAGTAGATACAATCCAATGATTTCTGAAAATTTTTCTTCTACCAAGTTGTAAAATTATTCTCTTTTTTCACCCTCTGCCACAATTAAAGCTAATAATTGACAAACAGCTGCCACATCCTAAATATAGACTAACCATTTCCTTATACTAAAGAAGCAGTTCTTTCCGGTGTTGATCTTTAGCGGTATCAGGCAATTTGACCTGAGAAAACTCACCACAGAAGAGGAGAAACAGAGGAAAAGGGGACTAAATCACGATGGCAATTAATTGACAAAAATCATGGCTGAACCAAAGTTATAAAAAATTCAATCACATATTAAAATTAGATTTTTTCTTATAAGATTCTGGGACTACCACTATTTTTCAGTTTATTATGTTATCTTAAGAAAAAGACAACTAATGAATCAAAGGAAATTATTAGCCTATAATTCATAATTTCAAAAGTTTGATTTTACCTCAACATCTTTGTCACTGATGAACCAGTTCACATCATCTTCTCCTACAAAACAAATAAAATGTTACTTAATTTTGATACCTTTCAAGCACTTATAGATTGGCAATAAATTAGTACTGATATTAGACCCTAAAAATATGAGAAATGTAAATACCCAAAACTCTTATCATAGCTTATTACTCATGTGAACAAATACTTAACCTCAGTTTCTTTACCTATAAAATGGGAATAATATTATTTGCCCTGTCTACAAAAATTACTATGAGCATCAAATGAGACATGGGAAAAGATTTGAAAACTATCAAACTAAAAACAAAAAAAATTTGTGAAGGCACCAAAACCCTGACAGTAGATAAAGGAAGAAATCTCATCTGATGGCTAAAAACCCCCTTACTCCCCAACACCCCAGGTCTCCAGTCAGGAGAGTGATTGAATTTGGGTATTAGGACATTTGAAAAAAGAAGCTGTTTAACTGAGCATTCATCAGAAACTTCCATTCTTGAAGTCCTAAATCCTCTCTTTTAAGTTGGTATATAAACTTTTACCTTTGGCCAGTTAGTGAGTTACTCATTACAGACTGTTCCTACACTTTGGCTTTTCTCCTGTCCATCTCTACTGTCAATTAATTCACAAGCACCCATTTTAGGACGTAAGTAGGTAGAGAAAAGGTTTTCCCTTTCACTAATAAAACTGTGTCCACTAGCTTCACATTATAGTTGATTTTCATTGTAACATTAAAACAATTGGACTCCAGGGCCTCCCCTGGTGGCACCGGTGTTGAGTGCTGGGTTGCGAAGATGCCCGCAGCCTCTGCAGCACCGGTTCGATCCCCGGCCACTAGCGAGGATCCCACATGGCACGCAGGCCTCTCCTGCCACAGGCCTCTCCTGCCGCGCCCGCTGCTCCCCTCAGCAGTGTATTTTGTCAGTCTGCCTGTTCTGTTCCCCACTCTTGCTCTGGTGAATTCTCTTACTCCCCTGTGCTTCTGACTGTACCCAGTGCTTGTATAAATAAATAAATAAATTTTAAAAAATAACTGGACTCTGAATACTATTTCATTATTAAGGCTAGGAATACAGCACTGTGTTTTGTAACATCAAAAATAGTGAAATAGCAAAAAAGGAGGTCAAATATGTAAAAGCCATTGATTCAGCTAAAAATACAACTGTAAAGACATGGGGTAGGGGAAATTATATATTTTTTTACCAGCTGTTTATTTCTCTTTGTACTGTCCCTTTACAAACTTGCAAATGGTTGCCATTCCCTCAGTCCACCACGACCAAGGAGGAAGGGACATATATGGCTAATGCAGAAGCTAAGGTATCAACAAAGGACTGAAAGATTTTTTTTTTCCTCCCCCAAAGCAAAGTTCAGATTTCCTCCTTCCTCCTATCTACTCCTCTTCTCTATCTCAAAAACACAAATCAACCTTGCCTCTTTTCTTTGAAAGGAATTTTGAAGAGACATGAAGTAATCTACATTTTCCCAGGCCTACCAGGAGTGTCTAGAGATATATTTTAAAATAAAATAGTTTTACTAAGAAAACCAAAAGGCTGCTTCACAAAAAGACTGATCCATAGGAAAGCAGAGATGCTGTGCTGATGATTATTTCCTTTGTAAAATTTGGAGGCTGCATCCATATATTAAGAGTGGAGAATACATTAAATAGCAGCAGCTTCTATTCCTTCATCATCACCAACCACGCTATTCTTCTTTCATTCAAAGGATTCCTCTAAGAAGCATGCTTTGCTTTAACTTTCAAAGCTGCCTTTTCTATCTCAATGTCCATTAATATTAAAAATGACCACTTAAAATCACTTTAATTATAAAATTGACTCAAATACTATCCTTAAAAATAAAAAGAAACCCAAAACCAGTAAAATGCAGAATAGCAACTATTCCCACCCTCAGCCCCCAACAAATTTATCCAACAGAGAACAGTTAAAAAACAGGGAAGATTTGACAGGGGCAAAGTGATTTAACATTTCTGTAGAATTAAAAAATATTCTAGGTTATGGACAAACTCCTCTTCCACAAACTACATTCTTAGTATACAGAATTTATCAACAGGTTTCAATTACAGAAGAAAATCAGACTTCTCAAGTGGTAAATGAAGCCAAGACATCAACCAGGTACACATTAAGTCCATTCTTGGACTTTCCTTGGTTCCAATTTGGACTCAACCCTAGTCAGGGCAGCTGACTCCTTACCTTTGTTCTTTTACCTATTGTGTTTGCTTCTTACTTCTGAATCCTAACCCAATGGTAGTTTTGTCTAAAGACAACTTATTAGAACATTTATAGGGAGCTAATCTACCACTTTGCACTGGGTATGAAACTTATACACACTTGTGTTCTGTCTTAACCTTGTCTTAATTTGCAGTGTGGTGTTGGGCAGTTAATTACCCTCCCTGGGTCTATATAATAATAGGTTAGATTATTGGTATCCATGAATCTTTCAAGCACTAAATTTCTGGGGTTCTCTCAATTTTTTTCATTACTGGAATCAGATATATTGTCACTTCAGTCTAGGTTACCTAATCCTCCACTTTTAAAAAAAGATTTATTTATTTATGTATACAAGAACTGGGGTTCAGGCCATAGGAATTCACCAGAGACAGAGTGGGGAACAGAATAGGCAGACTGACTGAAATACACTGCTGAGGGGAGCAGTGGGCGAGTTAGGAGAGGTCTGCTGCACCATGTGGGTAGCTCCCTGGCCGGGGATCGAACTCATGCTGCAGTGGCTGCAGACAGCTTCATAGGTTGCATCTTAACCCCTTGCACCACCAGGGTGGCCCATTACTTCTTTGCAACTAGCACAGGTTGTCCTGCCTTGAAGACAACTTCTCATAGGGCCCAGGAGAACTCATCTTCCATATGGTCACTACCCAATGCCATGCAATAGAAAATGGGGTTACCATTAACATTAGGACTTCCCTAAAGATGCCTACTATCAACTCTTAGCTGATTATGGATTTGTCTTCCTGATATCCAGGACTATGATTCTTTTCAGACTTCAGAATTTTAATCAAAGCAAAAGCAAACATAATTCTTTTTGTATTAACTCAGCTTAACAAACATGATTTGAGAGGTCATAATAAGCAAGGTACTGTAGGGTAAACAAAGATAGGAGCTTATGACCTAGTTAATATGAGGAGGTAAATGAAAAAAGGAGAGTAAGAGAAGACCAAAAAAAAATGCTATGCTAAATTTAAAGGAAGAACAGATAATATCTGAATTTAAGGGAGAAAGGGGAGACACAAGATTGTGCCATAAAGGAAATGCTGTTGAAGTATAATTTATATATTATACAATACACCCCTGTGGAAAATACAATAGGATGCATGTTGACAAATGTACTCATCACACCTGTGTAACTACCACAAAAATCAAATGTAGAATGTTTCCATCAACCCAAAATGTTACCTTGTGTACATTTACAGTCATTCTTGATGCTAAGAAACCACTGATTTGCTTTCTGTCACAATAGATTGATTTTGCATGTTCTAGGACTGCACATAAATAGAACCATACTTATGTACCATTTTGTGTCTGGCTTCTTTCACTCTGAATATTTATAAGATTCATTCATTTTACTGGGTAGAAGTAATTTGTTCCTTTCTTATTGCTAAATAGTATTCCGTTTAATATAACGAGCAACTTGTCATTTTGCTACTTGTTTCCTGATGAACATTTAGGTAGTTTCCAGTTTTGGACAATTATAAGTAAAGAAGCAACAAACATTCTTGTGAAAGTCTCTCTTTTTAAGTTTTCCTTTCCCCTGGGAAGACACCTAGGAATAGAACTACTGTATATAGTAAGTATACCATTATCTTTACCATTACATAAAACGAGCAAATTTTTCCAAAGTGGTTCCCATCAGTAATGTATGAGAGTTCCAGTGTCTTCACAATCCCACCAACACTTGGAATTGACAGTCTTTGAAATTTCAGCCTTACCTGGCTGTGAAGCAGTATTGTGTCAGGACTGATTACATGACTCTGATAACTAATGATGCTGAGCATCTGCTCATGCATTTATTTACCATTCATATATCTTTCCAAAACTGTGCAAATTTTGGCCTATTTTTAAATTGGGTTGTTCTTTCTTTTGGGGGGGGAGGGGCAAAAAGAAACATCTATCATGTTTTTACTGAGTAAGAGTTCTTCATATATTCTAGATAAAAGTCTTTTATTGTACAAGTGATGGCAAATATTTTGGGGTTTTTTTGTGTCCTTTTTTTTCATGTATTTTTTAACAGCGTTGTCAGAGAGCAGAATTTTAAATACATTTAATAACTTTTCCTTCCATAGTTAATGCTTTCTGTTCCCAAAGAAATTTGCCTATGCAAGGGCCTCCCCAGTGGCACAGCGGGTTGAGCGCTGCTCGGTGAAGGTGTCCGCAACCTCTGCAGTGTGGGTTCAATTCCCGGCAGACCATGGAGATTCCCACATGGTGCAGCAGACCTCTCCTGCTTCACCTGCTGCTCCCCTCAGCAGTGGGCGCAGTAGACCTCTCCTGCCTCACCCGGTGCTCCTCTCAGCAGTGTCTTCTCTGCTCTGCTCCCTGCTCTCTGTGGTGAATTCTCTCACCCTCCCGTGCCTCTGACTTGTACTCCAGTTCTTATATAAATCAATCAATCTTTTTTTAAAAAAAAAAAGAAAGAAATTTGCCTATGCAAGATTACAAATATTTTCTACTAAAATGTGTTAGTTTTAGCTTTGTAAGGGTATGTCCAGAGATGCTGGTTTCATGTAATGGTAAAGGTAACAGTCTACTTACTATATACAGTAGTTCTATTCCTAGGTGTCTTCCCAGGGGAAAGGAAAACTTAAAAAGAGAATTTCACAAGAATGTTTGTTGCTTCTTTACTTATAATTGTCCGAAACTGGAAACAACCTAAATGTTCATCAGGAAACAAGTAGTGAAACGAGTTGTTTGTTATATTAAATGGAATACTATTCAGCAATAAGAAAGGAACAAATTACTTCTCTAGGACCGCAAATTACTTCTCTAGGACTCCAGTAATATGAATGAATCTTA